TGCGGGGAGGTGGGGTGGGGTGTGTGTGTGTCGTTTCGAGAGGCGTACTCGGGGGGTATTCTTGTTTTGGTCCTGTTTTATCCTGCGCCAGACTCGATACTATTTTTCTTGCAATTAACACTGTCAGTAAGTGGGGCGGGCTGAAGTCGTTCCCACCGGATCATGCCGATGTTGCTTGCAGAAGAAACGCCACATGTGCTTACTCCGGTAGTAATTATGCTCGTAACGTGCAGAATGACGTGCTGAAAGCAAAACTTACGTACGGAGCAAAGAGCTTTGTGCCAGTGCAGGGAAAGCCGGAGCGGGCGAGGGACGGCTCGGCCGGTAGCAGCAGTGGGCAGAGGAGCAAATCGGCACGGAAATTTGGCACGGAAGTTCTAGTACCTGGTTGCCTTAAGGTGCCTGGTTCAGACAGCTGGTAAATTGCTCGTTTGGTTTTAAGGGTTAAGTCAAAGTTATTAAAGGCAGAAAAGGGTGTGTAAACGCTTGAAACACTTCCTGCGTTTTTCCTAAATTCAGCGCTTAAGAGCTTGAAATGAAAAAGAAAATCAAACAAACGTGTTCCTGTTGGTTAGTATTTTTAAAACTACAGAAAAAAACGTGCAAATGTATTTTTCTTTCGGGGCGGCAGGTAAAATTTACGGGCGATGTTCCTAAGAAATACCTGGCCGTGTTTCCGTGGGGGGGAGACGCTTTTGTGGGACACTGCGTTGGTTTTTTACACGTTCGCTCGCTGTTTCTGGGGATACAAGGATGGAATCCTGTCTTTGCTGAAGTCAGGAGCTAAACCAACCACATGATTTTATCAAGCTGTGGGCTCTAGTTTGTTCTCCTCCTTTGGAAAGGCAAGGGGTGCCTATGCTCAAGAGATCCGACTTGTATTTTGTTAATGATACTGCCAGAATTAAGGTACCGTTATTGCTGTCCCGGAGAGTTAAAATTCCCCGTCTGCCAGAAGCAGCTCGGGCGGGAGCCCCGTTGCTGCGGTGGTGGGACGGGAGATGGCACTTTTCCTTCTGCTCTGCAGAAGCCGGGGAGAGCTTCAAGTGCGAGCGCTGCGGGAAGGTATTTGCCTACAAGTATTACCGGGACAAGCACCTCAAGTACACCCGCTGCGTGGACCAGGGGGACCGCAAATTTCCTTGTCACCTCTGTAACCGGTCCTTCGAGAAAAGAGACCGGCTGAGGATCCATATTCTCCACGTTCACGAGAAGCACAGACCTCACAAGGTGAGCCTCCTCCTGGGTCTCTGCAGCTGCTGGCTCTTCGGAGGGTGTGGGGGTATGTTTAATTTAAGGAGTCTTCATGGCCGAGATTTTACCTCGCTTACATGCTGCTGACGTGTTCCCCCTCCTCCAGCTCCATGGCTGGGACCGCCTGTACAGGAAGAGTCTGGCTTGTGGAGCAGAGTTTAGTTGAAGAAATTTAATGGATTAGTATTGGTGAAAATAAACCCCCCAGTCTCTGTGAGAGTTTTAAAAGAAAATATTTTTCCTGGGCTTTTTGCATGCTTGTATGTGGCTTTTGCTACTTTTCTTATACATTGGGTGGCTGAAATTTTCTGAAGGTACTCACTCCTTGTCCAGGATCTCACCTACTTCACTCCCTGCCTTCTGTCCGAGAGCCAAGAGACGTTATGTCTGTGGGACAAAGCAGGAGTTAAAAGTTTTTATATGCAGCGTGGAGCAGATTTAAAATTGGTGGAAGAAATACTGAGATGCTTTCCTGAACTCCACCACCAAGCACTTTTCTACCACCAGTTTTCTCCAGGAGCACTGGGAGAGGGCAATCGGATTTTTTCTAAAGGCTTGTAGAGGGCATGTTCCAGTGCTCGGAAAGGCACAGTTAAACCGGTCCTGAAAATCCTCCAGATAGTCATTTTAGAGATTGCCCTGAAATGGTGTGGGGTTTTTTCATCATTATTATTATTATTTTATTTTTCCTTCAGGAAAAGCTTTTTTAACTAAATCAACAATATTACAATGTCAGAATATTGCATTGTTTTAATAACAGATTAAAAACATTTTTCTATTAAATACCGGGTAATTCTTCCCTCTTTTCTTTCCATTTTGAATGCATACAAAATAAATACAGCAGGAAGATAAGCTTGTTTTATTTTGCATTTATATGAAAGCAGTTTAATATAAAAAGCAAAGACGGAAAATGTATCGGTAAAAAAAAATTAGCTTTTTTTCAAGATCAGTCATAGCTTGGCTGATTTTGAACTTAGAATAATTTGAAAGAAATAATTTATAAGTGGAAAATTATTTTGAGGCTTGTACAAATTACACTGAATTGGTGCAAGTCTCTCAAGTGACTTTAGCCCCTCTGAGCTTGGTTGTGTCCTGTCGCTGTGGCTGCAGAGTGAAGGTGGCAGGTCTGAGGACAAAGCACTGCTTGTTCTGCTCCTCCAAGTGAGGAGAGGCTGTAGGCTGGGTGCTGTGGCTGATTCACTGCTTCTGGAAAATGGTTATTATTTCAAGAGGTCCCCTTGGGAGGAGGCTTATATCTTCTGAGCAAAAACTGAAAATGGCAACGGGAGCTTGATTTACATTTTGAAGAAAAGTGATAATTTCACAGCCATTTTCAGATTTTGATTACTGATGGAGAACACTAGTACTGAGTGCTGGTAGACAATATCTTTTTTTTTTTTAACATTTTAATCACAAACCAAAAAAAAAATCTTTGACATTTTGCATTATTTTTCTTTTTAAAAATTTTTGTTCTTAAAACTATTTTAAAATTCTGACTATTTCAAATAGCTACTGCTGAAATGATTACTGTTTGTATATACAGAAATACATATATATGTATATAGCTAAATATATGTAGGAAAACACGTGCACATACCATCCACATACCTTATTTCACTTTCTAGATATGCTGTTGTGTGCTTCCTTTTAACTTGATCATCACCTCCTTTCTATTTTTTTCCTTCCCCAGTGCTCAGTGTGTGGGAAGAGCTTTTCTCAGTCCTCCAGCCTGAACAAACACATGCGGGTTCATTCTGGCGAGCGACCCTACAAATGTGTCTACTGCAACAAGGTATGGCAAAGCCCCCCCCCCATCATTTTCTGTTTTCTTTGAAGGAAACACTACTGAAGCTGCTCTTCAGAGGAGTGTGTTCTGGGTGCAGCTGTGAGCTGAAGCCACAGGGCAAACAGGGTCTGGCTCTACCCTCTTTGCCTCCATCTGACATGGAATTTGTGTTTTGTCCCAGCTCTGAGACCTGCTGTGGGGCTAAGGTCTAGGAGAGCTTGGGAGCATTTCAAATGCCATCCAAAGCATGCAGCTAGATCTGATATTCCCCTTTTTCATCAGATAGATATTTTTTTATATTACTGACATGCTTCTGGAGCATGGTGAAAGGATTTGGACCATAGGCTGAACCTGCATGGTATGAGTTTGGACATGCTTCCTTTGAAATAGTGGGACTGTTGATGTGCAACTGGGCATGGAGGCTTTGTTTTAAAAAGAGCATCAGGAGAGCCCTATAGCACTGATCAAAAATGTACTTGACTGTTATTACCCTTCCCAGCAGGGATGATTCAGGTGAGCTCTCCCTGTGCAAGTGGTGACAGCTGTCCCAGAAAATTTCTGAGTATGCATATCTTGCTACTCATGGGAGTTGGGATGTGTGACTGAAGGAAGAGCAGAGTATGATGGAGTTGGGAAATGAAACCCAAAAAAATGGATGCCGGACTGGCTGCATGAACTGATTCTGTCAGCCCCAGTGTATGTAAATATGAAAGGGTTTAACTCTGAAAATGAACCTGCTTTATATCTCCTGAACATAAAGGAACTTCAAAGCTAATTAGGCCAGTACTGACTTCTTATCCTTTGATATAGTAGAAGATATTTACTGGTGTCTCTGGTCAGAAACCTTATCCTCAGCTTCACCTAACAATATGGACTCAGCCAGATCTGTAAAGCTGAGTGTTATAGCTGTTGGCTTCTGGTTCCTTGCTGGGAGTTTGTTTTTTTTTTTCTCCAGCTATCTGATGATGTGAGCATTTGAGGACATATATTGTGGGTGCGGTGCTTCTGGCGGGGTCCAGGTTAGCTGAACCTGGGGATTATATGAGAAGATGGGGTCCTTCCAACTCATTCTCCCTTCTTTCTGCTCCCTGCCCTTGTAGGCATTCACGGCGTCCAGTATCCTGCGCACGCACATCCGCCAGCACTCGGGGGAGAAGCCCTTCAAATGCAAGCACTGCGGCAAAGCCTTCGCCTCGCACGCTGCCCACGACAGCCACGTGCGCC